CCCCTTATTTTGATTTTGGAGTCCACTGAATCAAAGGTCAAGGTCACAGGGGCCTTGACCTTTAAAAAGCTTGCCGCCCAATAACTTGAGAATTCCTTTGGCCCACAGTCTTCATATTTGGTATGGAGGTTAGTCATGATTAGAAGATGACCCCTATTGATTTTGGAAGTCACTGAATCAAAGGTCAAGGTCACAGGGGCCTTGACTTTAAAAAGCTTGCCGCCCAATAACTTGAGATTCCTTTGGCCCACAGTCTTCATATTTGGCATGGAGGTTTGTCATAATTAGTCGATGACTCCTATTGACTTTGAGGTCACTGGGTCAAAGGTAAAGGTCACAGGGGCCTTGTCTAAAAAAAAGCTTGTCCGCCCAATAACTTTAGTTTCCTTTGACCCACAGTCTTCATATTTGGCATGGAGGTTAGTCATGATAAGTTAATGACCCCTATTGATTTTGAGGTTACTGGGTCAAAGGTCAAGGTCACAGGGCCCTTGACTAAAAAACTTGATTTTAAAATTTTCACATTTGAAGCAGGAGAATACATATCTTAGCAATGCACTGGCTTAGTAACCTCAGGTTTGGCAGGGTGGTTGTCCTTGAGTTCTAAATGGCCACTGTTGATTCTGACAAAGTGGTATGCGGGGGTATTCACGCCATGACAGTGGCAGTTCTAGTTCAATAAGGTTGTAATACTTATAAAATATAATACGCTCATCCTAGTTTTTGACACATAATGCAATATGTAAGGCAAGCTTAATCATTAAAGATTAATTTAGCACCTAAAACTCACTTTTAAACGATGAAAATTACCATTTTCGACGAGTGTTTTGCAGTATATACAATAGTTTTCCGACGAACTCCGTGACAGTTATCACAAGAACTCCTTGACATGTTATCATAAGAACTCCATCCCTCGTGTAACACTTCCTCCCCCGTGGTCACTTTTTGAAAAAAAAGTCGTGAAAGAGAGCGCCGTGGTGTTACATGCTAATAAATGCGGTATAAAATCGGTAAATGTGCAACTTGCAAAATGCTACCAAAACGAATGTGTGTTAAGATCTGCGCCGTTGTTTCAAAATTTGAATAATGTTATCAACCGTGTGCCTCTTTTTAATGATCGACATCCACTCATCAGCAAGAATAAATAACGCTGAAAACCGTTCAACGAAATAATGTTTAGGGCTTTTGTGCTATAGTACCTATGAAAGAGTAAAACTTAATGCACTAAAATTTGTTTCGTTGAATTGTTTTCAGCCTTTTTATTTTTGTTGATGAGTGGATGTCGATGTCGATGTAATCATTAAATAGAGGCGAACGGTTGATGAAGTTACTCAAATGTTGAAGAGATTCAAATTTAAATACCATATATCTTTAAAAGGAAAGCATTTTTGAAGGTATGGTTTGGAATATTTAGTGACAAAATGTTGACGTTTACGAATCGTATCTTAAAATGATTTATTATCATGAAGAAATGTAAGATTTTGTGACATTTAAAAAAAATGCTACATTTCATCAGAAAATGTGGTTATTTTCAATCAAAATTCACGTAATGTAAAGCTGGCAGAGGACCTAAAAATGTTAGCATGCTCCTTTAGATGTTGACTAGTTATCCATAACATTGATTTACTCGAACACATCAGTTGGGATATGTTAAAGATAGATAGATACTGAGCGCCCTTGAATTATGGTTTTATACCGACATGTATAAACTAGTACGGCTGTCGTCGCGTTAAACGGTTGTCTTCCCATTTGATTGTACGGTGTGATTTGGGAAGCGTTAGGACACGAAAATTCCATTATGTCCATACTACTAGTACTCGTTAGGACGGGTACGCTTTGAACAGTCAAAGTCGTAATGTGCCAGGAATCCGACTGTATGCATATTTGGTTGCTCGTAATGGTTTATCATGAATTAATCATATTCCGATTAACTCTGTGTATAATATCATGCAGTTCTATTAAGCGTCTGTCTGACCAGGACCATACAATGCTTCTTGCCAACAATCAGTGTTATGTACGGAAAATGACGAAATTTGCCGAATGTACACAAGCTCTTAAAAATAAATGATTACTAAGTTTTCTATGCATTAAAATATGTTTAACCACGTAAAACACGAATTTGTCATACAACACTACGTTTAGATGTATACGAGCTGTTTAATTATTACGCGGTAATGTTTCTTTAGACAATTCAAACCAATTCACACTCAGGTTCTTAGAAGGGACATCAATTTTAAATGTATTTCCCTTGTTTGTGACTTTTCTTGGTATTAATTTGCACAGTATGTATGAAATGAAATAACCTACTTTTCTCATCAAACCAGTGCGGTGACACAGGGGTGACATGTGTGTGTTTTTATTTATCTCATGCGCACGCGATACTATGTCGTGGCCACCACGACATAATATTTCGCGCGAAACACTAAAATATCTCGTGGCCACGACTTAGTTACCCGTGGCCATGACTAAGTAACCCGTGGCCACGACTTAGTAACCCATTGCCACGACATAGTATCTCGTGGCCATAACAAAGTATCTCGTATGTACGAGATAAATAAAAACACACACACATGTCACCTCTGTGCCACCGTAAGCCAGTGATGTTGTTGCCTCTTTATATATATTTGAAACGCACTTACCCCAAAATAAATCAACTACCTAAAATTGATCGCAGTTGTTGTTCAGAGTCAGTCAGTCCTTCGTGAATAGTCGTGAGATAGTGTTGTTAAAGTGTATCTTATTGTGTTTAGGCTGTTTAAATGAGCACCGATTTGTATTTCAGATGCAAGTCAGGAAATTAGCTCACCAACAATTATAAAACAATCAACGGTAAAATTAACAACAAGAACGATGCCACAACCCACAACGAAAACAACAACATCCAAACCTACAACAACAAAAACAGCAACAACACAAACAACAACTACTACGCAATCAGGTACAAAAAAAAACCGGCTTTAAGTTTAATTATATTGTATTATATCAAAATATACAAACAATATACAATTTCATAATTTTACAAACATAATCAAGCGTACATACAAAAGGGTTTGCCAAAACTTCTAACAACATTATCGTGGGCCCTTCCCTGATGTTAGTCAAAATAAGTTTATACTATTTTATTATCAAATTCTATCGAATTTCAGTTTTAATTAATTTTTCAGGAAGTAATTTTAACAAATGTTTTATAAATTATGTAAATATAAATAAATCTCATGAGAAAAATAAAAAAATAGAAATATAGATAAGCATTATAATACAATTATGATTCTAAGAATGATTAAGTTAAGTTATTTAAATGTATAAAATATAAGTTTTAAAAGTCAATAGTGTTTCATTTTAAGTTATTTATGGCTTTTGAATTTAGTATTTTAAGTATCAACTTTTGAGAAAAAAATTATAAATAATGAATGAAATAATAAAATTATTGTAATAACAAAACTGCAAATAAATAAATAAATACGAAGATATTGACCACACAAAACCCTGTTTCAACAAAATTTACTGTTTCAGCAGTAAAATGTCTGATTTTATTCAATTAGATCTCTTGCTTGATTTAATAAAAGTCTGTACTTCTTTAAAAATAAATACATTTTTGGATTCAGAACACTCTTCTATTCCAAACAAAAAAATTCGTACACTCAGAGGATGAAAAAATATTGTATTTAAGAACAATGTTCGTCTTTGTTCACTGTATAATTTGCATTTAAAAAAGTGTTTTGAATTTCCAATGTATGCTCCACATACACAAGATGGACTGGAAAAAATGTGATTATCATATAAATCCGAAATAAGGTTACTGCAGTTGTTTCTAAAACGTGTATGATGTACAGAGAGAGAGAAGCGTTCACCTTTAATGAAAAATAAAGGAACCCATAGGGTTTTAAATATTTGTTTAATGTTTGCTTTAAAGAAAGGGAGGGTTTCTGTTAAAACAACAGAAGCACCAACGACACGGGTATCAACAACTAGAGTTACAAAGCCTACAGAAACACCATCAACTACACGAAAAGAGATTGTTACATCTGCAACACAACACACCAACACAACTACAGAATAAACAAACACATTAAACCTATAATCAATCCAAAAATGCCTGCGTCTCGCCAAGCAAAACACATTCCTGGTGAGGATCGAGCCGGGCCGTCTGTCGTTGTGTGGATAGTACTTGGAGCTGCAATACTTTTAGTTGTCCCCGGCGCCGCCGTCGGTTACTTTGTATATCAACAGAAGCAGAAACAGCAGCGCGAGAAACTGGGTCCACTATGTTCCACTGTTGGGGAAATTTTCTGAATTAGTACTGATCAATAGCGAACAGTGCAAACCACGATAAGACGGCACGGATATGCGGATTGATCGTGGTCTGCATTGATCGCATTGCCGCCCAAGGCTAAAGGTTAATATATATCGGTTTTACATTTTCGAGGTTTAAGCATACTATAGCATCACCTTATTATTTACCATATTGGTTTCTATGTTTAGATTTATAATAAAAATGTTAAGTTGTATGTTCACAGAAATTAACACCTTTTCTTAACATTGGAATGCAATGTTTGATATTGGATGATAGATCAGCGACTCTAAGTCTAAACAGGCATCACTGTACATGTATTTCATGTATTTGAAATAACATTGTACATATAACTTTTTTTTCAAATGACATGGTGATTTTATTACTGAGACTTAATTTAATTGGGAAGGAACTGTTATACGGAAGATGGAGTTTTTCTAATAACTTGTCAGGAGTTCTTCTGATAATTGTCACTGACTTCTTGGAAAACGTTAAGTTTTCCAAAGAAATCCATACTGAAGCGTTTTCCAGGAACTTCATGACATTTACCAGGAAAACTCCTGACAGGTTATCACAGAAGAACATTTATTATAAAACAATACTTTAAATGGCTTAATTAAAATAATTTCCCCGCCTCATCTGTAATTTGCCGGTATAATTACATTAAGAGGTATGAAACGTTCAATGTTAGCTGATAAATCGTTCAAATTTTATTCTATATTTTAATTTATGTCTTAAAATGTACACATGAACAATCACTTGAGAATCCTGTAAGAAAATTAAAATTCAAGGCGATTTTGCATTGCGTATATTTAAAAAGTGTATCCCTATCCGGATTTGGCGGACCAATTCATAAAATTATGAAATTGTAACGTTTTACTTTTACTTCCATATGTGTCAATGAAATAAGTCTCAAAATGCACGTTAATGTATTGTTTACGGAATGTTATGATAGCTTCTTAATTAGTAAAAACTTATTCAATCTATTTCATATTAGTTTTCAAATATGCACATGAATAATCTCTAGAGAATGTTGTAAGGAAATAACATTAAGCGCGATGTGCAGTTCGTGATATTAGAAAATGAACCGACTATCTGGATTTTGTTCAGACCAATTCAAAAAATTGTCCAATTCATAAACTCAAGATAACAGTTGAGCATGTTTATACTGAGTAACATTAATTAAACACCTTCATCTTTTTCATCTTTTTTGTGCACAATAGATCAACAGATTTATCTAATACGGATAATAATATATCATCTTAGTTTATTTTGCAATTTGTTTACAAAGTTCATATCTTTTTCATTTGATTATATTTCAAAGACAGTCACCCGCTTAATTAAATTCACAAAGCCGACACAATAACATTTAAAAAGAATTTCCTTAAGCTTTGTACGATTAAAGGAAATCATTGCTGTAACAAATTTATGGACAAAATGGGGTTCCGTAATAAACTTACTACTGTTTCAAATGTATAGCACACGTCATAAAACAAATATCTAAAAATTGATCTTAATTTAAATAAAACATTTTAGAGAGTAAGAACAGCAACAATTTAGTTATGACTTTAAGGTATTAAATGCATTTTCTGGTGATTTTTTAACCCTTTTCTTTTCTTTTTTTGGTGATATAAGAGTTAACTGTTTGAATTCGTCTAAGAAATCTTTAGGACTTGATTGCAGACGATTTCCAGCCGAAGAAAGAAACAAACATGGTTGTCGAGATATAACTATTTATATCAGAATGTTTGATCCAATTACAGCGGTAATGTTTCTTTAGACAATTCAAACCAATTCACACTCAGGTTCTTAGAAGGGACATCAATTTAAGTGTATTTCCCTTGTTTGTGACTTTTCTTGGTATTAATTTGCACAGTATGTATGAAATGAAATAACCTACTTTTCTCATCAAACAAGTGCGGTGACACAGAGGTGACATGTGTGTGTTTTTATTTATCTCATGCGCACGCGATACCATGTCGTGGCCACCACGACAAAGTATTTCGCGCGAAACACTAAAATATCTCGTGGCCACGACTTAGTTACCCGTGGCCATGACTTAGTAACCCGTGGCCACGACTTAGTAACCCATGGCCACGACATAGTATCTCGTGGCCATGACAAAGTATCTCGTATGTACGAGATAAATAAAAACACACACGCATGTCACCTCTGTGCCACCGTAAGCCAGTGATGTTGTTGCCTCTTTATATATATTTAAACGCACTTACCCCAAAATAAATTAACTACCTAATTGATTGCAGTTGTTGTTCGGAGTCAGTCAGTCCTTCGTGAATAGTCGTGAGATAGTGTTGTTAAAGTGTATCTTATTGTGTTTAGGCTGTTTAAATGAGCACCGATTTGTATTTCAGATGCAAGTCAGGAAATAAGCTCACCAACAACTATAAAACAATCAACGGTAAAATTAACAACAAGAACGATGCCACAACCCACAACGAAAACAACAACATCCAAACCTACAACAAAAACAACAACAACACAAACAACTACTACGCAATCAGGTACAAAAAAACCGGCTTTAAGTTTAATTATATTGTATTATATCAAAATATACAAACAATATACAATTTCATAATTTTACAAACATAATCAAGCGTACATACAAAAGGGTTTGCCAAAACTTCTAACAACATTATCGTGGGCCCTTCCCTGATGTTAGTCAAAATAAGTTTATACTATTTTATTATCAAATTCTATCGACTTTCAGTTTTAATTAATTTTTCAGGAAGTGATTTTAATAAATGTTTTATAAATTATGTAAATATAAATAAATCTCATGAGAAAAATAAAAAAATAGAAATATAGAAAAGCATTATAATACAATTATGATTCTAAGAATGATTAAGTTAAGTTATTTAAATGTATAAAATATAAGTTTTAAAAGTCAATAGTGTTAAATTTTAAGTTATTTATGGCTTTTGAATTTAGTGTTTTAAGTATCAACTTTTGAGAAAAAATTATAAACAATGAATGAAATAATAAAATTATTGTAATAACAAAACTGCAAATAAATAAATAAATACGAAGATATTGACCACACAAAACCCTGTTTCAACAAAATTTACCGTTTCAGCAGTAAAATGTCTGATTTTATTCAATTAGATCTCTTGCTTGATTTAATAAAAGTCTGTACTTCTTTAAAAATAAATACATTTTTGGATTCAGAACACTCTTCTATTCCAAACAAAAAAATTCGTACACTCAGAGGATGAAAAAATATTGTATTTAAGAACAATGTTCGTCTTTGTTCACTGTATAATTTGCATTTTAAAAAAGTGTTTTGAATTTCCAATGTATGCTCCACATACACAAGATGGACTGGAAAAAAATGTGATTATCATATAAATCCGAATTAAAGTTACTGCAGTTGTTTCTAAAACGTGTATGATGTACAGAGAGAGAGAAGCGTTCACCTTTAATGAAAAATAAAGGGACCCATAAAGATTTAAATATTATTTTAATGTTTGCTTTAAAGAAAGGGAGGGTTTCTGTTAAAACAACAGAAGCACCAACGACACGGGTATCAACAACTAGAGTTACAAAGCCTACAGAAACACCATCAACTACACGAAAAGAGATTGTTACATCTGCAACACAACACACCAACACAACTACAGAATAAACAAACACTTTAAACCTATAATCAATCCAAAAATGCCTGCGTCTCGCCAAGCAAAACACATTCCTGGTGAGGATCGAGCCGGGCCGTCTGTCGTTGTGTGGATAGTACTTGGAGCTGCAATACTTTTAGTTGTCCCCGGCGCCGCCGTCGGTTACTTTGTATATCAACAGAAGCAGAAACAGTAGCGCGAGAAACTGGGTCCACTATGTTCCACTGTTGGGGAAATTTTCTGAATTAGTACTGATCAATAGCGAACAGTGCAAACCACGATAAGACGATACGGATATGCGGGTTGATCGTGGTCTGCACTGATCGCATTGCTCCCAAGGCTAAAGGCTAATAAATATCGGGTTTACATGTTAGAGGTTTAAGCATACTATAAAATCACCTTATTATTAACCATATTGGTTTCTATGTTTAGATTTATGATAGAAATGTTAAGTTGTATGTTCACAGAAATTAACACCTCTTCTTAACATTGGAATGCAATGTTTGATATTGGATGATAGATCAGCGACTCTAAGTCTAAACAGGCATCACTGTACATGTATTTCATGTATTTGAAATAACATTGTACATATAACTTTTTTTCAAATGACATGGTGATTTTATTACTGAGACTTAATTTAATTGGGAAGGAACTGTTATACGGAAGATGGAGTTTTTCTAATAACTTGTCAGGAGTTCTTCTGATAATTGTCACTGACTTCTTGGAAAACGTTAAGTTATCCAAAGAAATCCATACTGAAGCGTTTTCCAGGAACTTATTGACATTTACCAGGAAAACTCCTGACAGGTTATCACAGAAGAACATTTATTATAAAACAATACTTTAAATGGCTTTATTTAAATAATTTCTCCGCCTCATCTGTAATTTGCCGGTATAATTACATTTAGAGGTATGCAACGTTCAATGTTAGCTGATAAATCGTTCAAATTTTATTCTATATTTTAATTTATGTCTTAAAATGTACACATGAACAATCACTTGAGAATCCTGTAAGAAAATTAAAATTCAAGGCGATTTTGCATTGAGTATATTTAGAAAGTGTATCCCTATCCGGATTTGGCGGACCAATTCATAAAATTATGAAATTGTAACGTTTTACTTTTACTTCCATATGTGTCAATGAAATAAGTCTCAAAATGCACGTTAATGTATTGTTTACGGAATGTTATGATAGCTTCTTAATTAGTAAAAACTTATTCAATCTATTTCATATTAGTTTTCAAATATGCACATGAATAATCTCTAGAGAATGTTGTAAGGAAATAATATTAAGCGCGATGTGCAGTTCGTGATATTAGAAAATGAACCGACTATCCGGATTTTGTTCAGACCAATTCAAAAAATTGTCCAATTCATAAACTCAAGATAACAGTTGAGCATGTTTATACTGAGTAACATTAATTAAACACCTTCATCTTTTTCATCTTTTTTGTGCACAATAGATCAACAGATTTATCTAATACGGATAATAATATATCATCTTAGTTTATTTTGCAATTTGTTTACAAAGTTCATATCTTTTTCATTTGATTATGTTTCAAAGACAGTCACCCGCTTAATTAAATTCACAAAGCCGACACAATAACATTTAAAAAGAATTTCCTTAAGCTTTGTACGATTAAAGGAAATCATTGCTGTAACAAATTTATGGACAAAATGGGGTTCCGTTATAAACTTACTACTGTTTCAAATGTATAGCACACGTCATAAAACAAATATCTAAAAATTGATCTTAATTTAAATAAAACATTTTAGAGAGTAAGAACAGCAACAATTTAGTTATGACTTTAAGGTATTAAATGCATTTTCTGGTGATTTTTTAACCCTTTTCTTTTTTTGGTTATATAAGAGTTAACTGTTTGAACTCGTCTAAGAAATCTTTAGGACTTGATTGCAGACGATTGCCAGCCTAAGAAAGAATTTCTGAAAATTGGATAAAGATTTATAATTCAATGATGGGGAATGTTTGATATGTATGAAACAGAGCATTGTAACAGTGTTGTTACGAATGATAATGGCATCACCTGCAAATGTCAAGTGTGCGCTGCTTCTTCAAATCTACAAAACCATGACCTTCGCTAATATTTTTTAATTCAAGTGCGCACGCGTTGTGCAGATAAGTGAGGAAATCCTTGGCGGGATTTGAACCCTTACTCGTGAAACATTTTTTTCTGTCATATTGTATAACATTTTCGAGAACTGGAAATAAATAAATAAATTGCTAACTAGTTTCCTACATAACTATGCACATGAAAGTTATTACTTTAGTTTTTATCTTTTATTTTTGTAGGTTTATTTGCAATAAATATATGCACAGATAATGTCTCAGAAATTATATATATATATATATATATATATATATATATATATATATATTTATACTATATATATATATATATATATATATATATATATATATATATATATATATATATATATATATATATATATGTTTTGACCCCACCCCACAAAATATTGCAAACTAAGTATAAATGTGCATTCAACGTAAAAACATGCACAAAAATGCCTGTTGTACAACTACGTAGTATGGCTTGTTGTAAAATGTCATCATTTCACACTTTGACATACTCGAAATACTCGAAATTCAATAAATGTTAAAAATTTTCAACACATCATCAAAATGTATGTCAGCTTCAAATAAAAAGTGCATTAATTAGTTAACTTTTCAAACATCGTTGACAATTTTAATCAACCGTTCGTTTTTTGGCGTCAACCAGTTGACATCTATCAAACTTTGCATGCAACAAGATTCCTATAGCATAAAGAAAATGCATACAATTTATATCTTACTTCTTATTCCATTGCCTAGACGTGGAACACGTGTAAGTAGGGATAAAAATCTACGTAAAAGCATTTGTTGAACCGTAAAACAACATAATTGAAAGTTTAAAAATTGTTATAGGACATATCATGAAATAATACAAAGTAATCGCATCTAATTGTTTCAGCCTACACATCACCGGGCTATCTGGGATGTTTTGAAGATGGATTCGAAATCAGGATACTAAGAGGAACTTTTCAGAAATTAATAAGAAACAGTGGTAAAGCATGTAAGGAATATTGCCTGTCAGCGGGATTCAGATATGCTGGAACGAAGGTTTGTGTTCTGTAACAAGATATAGAATTCATTCATTAGAATTGATTTCTCATGAGAACATAATGTTATGAACATTGAATTGAACATGCTTTCATTATGTACAACATTTAAGTATGTCTTGCTTTACTAGACTTACAAGTTATCTGATACTAATATAAAGAAAGTAAGATTAGTAACGCCGTAATACTAAAGCATTTAAACAATGTGTCCAATTGTTCGTGGTTATTGAACATGACTCTAACAATACCTACATTTTTCATTATAAAAATCATCATAAATGTCCTAAACAATTTTATGAGATAGCCTTGATTTGTTTATATGTTCTTGTCATTGTTCCTCTATTCTCATTCTTTTGAGGTGTACCCCTTTTCGCAGTTTCTATGCCCTACTAGTCGCCTTGCAGTGAATTGTGCAACTGGATATTGTTGGGACTACATTTTCCAAACAGAAGTGCAAAAAGGTTATCCTCATAAAAAAATATCTTTTTTATACTGTTTCTTTTATTATAGGCGGGCTTTGATTGTTATTGTGGAGATACAATAAGAAAGAAACAGTTGTCTGGTGAATGTTATGAACCTTGCCCAGGTCGACATGATGAGTTCTGCGGAGGAATTTCAGAAATATCACTTTATGACACCTGGCGTAAGCATACTATTACATCAGTTAACTTTGTTTTGACTTAGCTCCGTTTAGAAATTGAAATAGATATATCATATGCATGTACATTTTCCGATATTGCCATAACTCCACTTCGCTGGAAGAAAATTAGCTTTATTTACCGTAATTCTACTACGCCTATATGTATTTGGTGTGTTACAATAAACCATACATGAAAATACAACAACAAAAACAACACAAAAGGAATTAAATAGCATCATGATCAGTATGCTAATAGGTATCATTGTAATACGGGACACAATTTCTATAAAAAAATGCGACGAATGTTTCTCGTAGGACCCGTTCCGAAATGGCCGCTTCGTCAGGGGCGAGGTAGTTAAAATACATGTTTCCGATTTCTTTCCGTCTGGCGCCTGGCATAGTGGTGGAAGTTGGGAGGTACGTGGTATGCAAGCAAAAGGTGTCTTATAAGTCAGAAATGGCTGGCCCTTTCAGTAGGGGTGACATTATAATAAACAAGACATTTACCTTTACCTTTTTTATATACGAGTACTTATATACTAATTTTCATTTCATATACTGATGATTACATTTTTATAAGCATGCGCTACGAACCCATGCGACCCCGGGCATGTATGCGACGATCTTGATGTACACACATATAGTTGTATTTGTACACAGAGTGACTGCCACAAAGGTAATTAATTATAACCATTTTAGATATGATTTTATAACTATTTTAGATATGAGTTTACAGGTTTATTACAGGTTTATTAACTGAAATCTGTAAGCCGCTCGTCTGTTTATAACATGGATTTATATATAGTACATAAGAAAAAAAGCACATCTACTCTTAATAAATAATAAATAGAAAAAAAACTTTGTTACAAAATGCAATTCCTATACTAAATGACTTTATCAACAACATTACATAATAAACAGTAACAAATATATTTAGGAATTTTTATAGACATTGAAGGCACTGAAAACTTTATTCGTAGTTATACTTGCACACTGAGTACACTGTCATTGCTGTCATGATCGGATTAATTATTTACTGTCATCAACAAAACATCACTACATCCATAGTTTTTCACGTTTTACAGAAGTAACAGAAACAACACTTCTATCTACACTAAAGTTTACAACACAAGTACATATTACTCAGAAAATCGAGACAGAAACAAGAACAGAAGCTACAACAGATGATGCCGGACATTCAACAGTAAACGTAAATGAGGTGACAGAAGGTAACAAAACGAACCACATAACGACAGGTTATTTCAAAAGCAATATTTCTTTCTACAGCTTTTACCATTGGAAAGAATAATTAGCTCATTGGCATAAAGGACTTTGGATTATTGTTTGAATTCTTGTTCAATCTTCCTATATTGATTTAAAGTCAATATATCTATGGTCATAACTGTTGCCACAATTCTAGTAAAAGCATCACTCAGTTGCACCAATTTACGTAAAAGTAAATAGATTTTGGCAGATTATCCTGTAACACCTCTACTAAACTTGTCGAAACTAAAAACCAACATGATATTAAATCGTGTATTTTTTTATACTTATAAGGACGTAAGTCTTACAAGTTTTCACCTTACAGTTATCACTATATTCGACATGTAAATTATGACTTGATATTATATTAATTCATATAACATATGATAAAGTACCGGAACGTATTGACATAAGTTCTCGTCCAACCTACATCAAGGCTTAATCGCTAAATATTTACCATATGAACATTCAATATTACTGACCATAGTTGTGTCACCTTAGTCGATGGAAATAAAATTTCATTAAAACATTTGACAAAAAGACAATTGTAAGTGAATTTAGAAATAATAGAAATAATTTTTCTTTTAGCATAGATTATAAATGTCATCATGGTTTGTTCATGTTAATGTTTAACACTTCTTCAGATAAGTCAAGCAGATCAACCATCATTGTTGTACCAGTATTAATTACGTTAACCGCAATTGTTGGCATAGTTATCACTTTGGTTGTTATCAAGAAGAGGTAAACAAGCGTGTTCATTTCCATTTGAAACAATTTATAAAAAGATTTGCGAGAAATTTACTAAAGTCCTTATATACTGGTCGTTCTTTAAAGCAGCACGCCTCCAGATTCATGTTATTTTGTTATGAATGTATTAAAAATGAAATATTGTAAGATGAACAAATAAAACAATATACATATTGCAATCGGTACTTACAATCCAAAAAAATACCAAAAGGTGGCCAACATATGCAAAAACAGCCCTCGATGCGTTAGGGCCGCAGTAAAAACATGGTGGTCAAATACTGCAAAAGCAGACTTTAACCGCATATAACATGTAAAATATCACTTGGAACTTGAATGTTTTTACCTTTCTTAAAATTTTAGTACATTTTTCTCAATATTGATTTTCTTGAAATATGTTGGCTAAGCTGGAGGCATGCAACTTTAACTCCTAGTCGAAAGGTTGATCACCTTTCCTTTGAAAGATAAATACATTTTATTCCGTCCATTATGATTTTTAGAAAAAGTTTGAATCTTAATTAACATAAACACTATGTTTTAGCAATAATAGGAAAATGAGAATCAGTCCGTCGGTACATTTAATCTTTGATCATCTTTTGGGTATATACAAAAATTTACATTATCATCCCGGGAAAATATCTTGGCATATACTTTGCATAATTGAATTGTTTTTCATATATTTTACATTTATTTTCAAATATGACGATAAGCTCTTATCGTTGGACAATTTTTCAGGTTTCCATTTGACCATTTCATTAAAAAGGTGAAACCCTACTTAAACAATAGCTGAATTTCTTTCAACTCTTTCTACATGTAATTTAATTTCGCTTGTATCATTTTGTTCAATACAGACGGCAAAGAAAAAGCGATGATATATATCATGAATATGATGAACCAAGTGAGTTAGCTTTACAGACGACAAACCATGCGTTTATCAAACAGCCTGTCAAATCACACATTGTAAACAACGAGACGCAACAACCTGATGAAACATTTGCAGATTGTGAAGAAGCGGCACAATCGACTGATGGTTGGTATGAATTGTTGCAGCATAACGTAGATTCTTCTGGCGAATATACAACAATTGATGTACATAAAACAGGTACTCACAACAAGACATATCCAAATGGACTTTACGAAACGTTAAATAAGACAAATCAACACGAGGTATTGTACAGCAAAATAAAACAAGACCAAAAGAATTAGTGTAGACAAAAAATTGTATATATTGAGAGGACATACCTTTCTAACAGAATTTTCATGCACAAAATTCAAAATGACATTTTATTATATACATTTTTTTTCATTTCGAGGTGTTAAAGTAAGGCTCAGTCATTCGGTATATTGTTTTTACTTTCGTGTCAGATACTGATGCTTGGCAGTTACCTTAGACAGAAAATTGATTCTTTTCCAAACCATGCAACAATTCGTAAACAGTATTAAAAATATAAAGAAATTTAACCTCACATTTTTTTTTAATACATTTACCTACAATTATTGGAGAGATCTTGAGCTAATGTTTGACACAGTTTTTAGTCGGCAATGACGGGTGAATTTTGTTCAAGATATTTGTGGTATTAAGTTATTTATTAACGCAATAAAACATAATTTGTTTTTAGAACAGCTTGGTATATAGCACTTTAAGAAAAGTGGTTCTCTAATTGATATAATCCAACTTGTTTCAAATTTTACTTATGTTGGTTTATATTTGTTTAAAATGGACGAGCAGTCTGCTTTAAATGTAACGTAAAGCATTTAAAGGGATTTCTAAACTAACAGTTACTTATGTACATGTGTGATTCAAAGATATATTTTACTGTAGACCAACAATAAGGATATGAAACCGAATTATGATGTAACAAATGCCATACATATGACTGTATTTGGTATTTCAATGTTTTATAAAGTCATGTTATCATTGTTATTAAACTATATCTGTATAAAGACATAAGTGAAGTTTGAATTCCATCAAAATATATTATAAACCCTTTTCTTGCACACATCTTACAAAGAACTTAGATGTCACACAGATCTTGTGAGACACAATTTTCTCAAGCAATTTCAATGTTTATTATTTGCAACAGTGTGATTGACACTTGTAAGCTTTGTAATTGACACATTTTACCTTGTATGTACGTATGTATGTATGTATGTGTGCGTGTGTGTTTGTGTGTGCGTGCGTGCGTATCTATCCCCCTCAGGCGGAAGCTGTTTATTTGTTTTTTTCTTTTTTTCATCTCTCATGATAATTATTAATTTTCCTCTTACAAATACCTTAAAATAATACTGTACTGTGTGTAGAAATTTATTAAATAAAACCATGTCATGTGTTGAAATTAACAAATATTCACCACTGCTATCTATGTATACTCATGTGTTATATTATGTTACTTAAGTTAATAAAGATATGTTCTGTTCTGTTAAACAAATATAATCATGCTTCATTTCAACAGGGTTTGTAATTCGTTACTATTAATTATAGCATATTACTTTTAATTATTTTCTTAAATTTTCCATTTTAAAGTTCACAGCTAATGTATATATGAAACTCTTCCCTTATCCGGATGTTTCTAATTATGAAAATTAACGTCGAACTTTTGGTTTTAAATTTGTCAAATAACGACCAATTTCTGTAAGATAATAGTTTCAAAATGCACGTTTATCTATTGTGTAAAAATGATATTATACATTTTAAAATCCTGCCAAATATACCACATAGGAAAATGATATTAAACACCATTTGGCAGTTTCGGTAAGAAGTTAATAGATTTCTGAAACAAAAGTATTTTACATAAAGATAAACAAAGAATATCTTTAATGAATAAACATGTGAAAAGTTATGAATTTGATTGGATGATTGCCTAAATTTTCTTTTACCGTGACGTAATTAAGCAATAAAATTAGGCGGTGTTTGGCTTATGCAGTTCATATTTTTAATTACTAATGCAAAAAGAATGTATCAATCTGGTAATACATTGATTGAATTGCAATATGAATCAATGACAGATCTGATTGGCCCCCAATGCATGTTCACACCCAAACACTTGTGAAAGACATTATCATCACATGACATAATATAGTTAACATATTACGCAACAGAAGTTCAGATCGATCAATTAAGTTTTATTACCCTAAAATCAGATTTAGATAACATTGCATGGTGTGAAAAACACAAATGACCCCTCTTTGGATATATCACTAAAAATAAAATATAGATCATTTAGCCATAAATTTTACATACAATTTATGAAGGAAATTAGCTCTAAAAAGACGGGATTTTTAGTTTGTTTTTCATTCATTCATTCGTTCGTACGTACGTACGTACGTTCGTTCGTTTGTTCGTTCATTCATTCAACTATCGGTAATTAACGCTATTGCAAAACATTCCGTCATTCACTAAATATGTGTTGTTTTTCATTTAAAGAGGGTTTGTAATTCGTTACATATTACTTATACCCCATTGCATTTTATTATTTTCTATTATTTTCCAAATATTTTTTTAAAGTTCACGGCTCGTGTAAATAGAAAATTCTTCCACTATCCAGATATTTCCAATTATGAAAAATAACGTGTAAATTTGTCAAATCGCAGCGGATTTCATTCAGATTAGTCTCAGAATGCACGTTTGTCTACATTGTGTAAAAATGATATTATATATTTTAAAATCCTGCCACATGTACTCAGCTCTTCAAAGAAATCACCCTAATTGCTGATACAAATATGGAATTTCAGTTGAAAATCGCCGATTTTTTGCCTCTTTTATCATAAAAAAAACCTCTATTTTTGTAAAAAGAAAAACTTGGTAAAAAAATGCGTAATGGCAAATGTTATAACATTAATATATGAAGCTTTTAAATTAGTAAAATCATATTCAATCTATTTCATGTTAGTTTTAATATGTGAAAAATCTCTAGAAAATGTTGTAAGAAAAATGATATTTAACACAATGTGCAGTTCGCGTTTTTAGAAAATTTACCCACTATCCGGACTTTGTTCAGACCAATACATAAAATTTACCAATTCCTTAACTCAAGATGACTTTGTCTGTTCGTGTAGGCAGGGCCTCCTTCAAAAGACAGGAATTCGAGATTACCTTGTTTGTTTGTGTCAAGATGACTTTGTCTGTAACTGTAGGCAAGGATTCCTTTGACAGACAGAATCTAAAGCTAACTGTGTCTGTTTGTGTAGACAGATTGACAGATTATCTATATATAAGAGTTAAAGATTGATTTAATTCGCATTTCACAGATAAAGTCTTTTTTAACATAGATCCAATTCGTTCATTATAAGATTTCTTTTTATGCACATAGTAAAACTTCTTAAATCTACGAATGACATTTCTTTTAGTTGTAGATAACTGTTATGCACGGCATTCACGTGCAGAATTATAACTTGATTGTGCTAATAATTCATACTTAGTGCTATACATATATAGTTAAGATATTTGTAAAAATCTTAGAAATGTCTCTATCTTTTTCTTATCAGTGTGCTGTGTAAATTGATAATTATACATTTTCTCTTGTACCGGCGGAACTATACATTTATGCAAACATTTTGTTCCCAATATTGTATTGTAAAATGCTTGGGTGAAAATAAATGATATGTTATGATCGGTTCTTATGAATGATTATGATTTTATATTTAAAATTCAAAATATCATCTATTATATCAAATCAAAGTTGTAAAAACATCACTTCCTGTTATGTCCAGGGTATAGATATTATACGAAACACATTTGATTGTAACTACGTTTATTTAGAAAGCCAGGTTATATCTTGACCGGAAGTTTAGTACTGTTTTTACCCATCATGCAATATAGTTATAAATAGCAGACTACAGTAATGAAGGATATTACATCCCTCCTCTTCTTGGATTGAAACATCATCTTATATAAATTTATTATTGTAAATATTATCAAATCAATATTATTTTTTAATTAATGATTTTTTTAGTTCTAAATACAATACATATTCAAATAACCAAAATCATAAACATGTACATTGTATATAATGTTTCTACAGATGGAACACAAATTCAGCATCTAACTGTAATTGTCCAAGTTTGTTTATATCAGCATTCCTTATTCCACGTGGTCTGTTATAAAGCAATTAATCATGAGGAAAACTGGGAACTGTCCGAATTCCAACCGTTTGTAGGTCAGTTTTACTACAGCTTTATTACCAATGAATAACGTTAGTCAATGAAACTTTTCTACTACTTGAGCAATATCAGACATATTACACTTTACAAACATGGATAATTTCCTTGTCTCTCCAACATCATAATTAATTAGACACATTAGTTATATTTTTTTATTTGATATCCTTGAGTTTGATAATATTTAAATGATATAAAAGCATTTAATAATATAAACCCTATAATAAACTCCGGAGGGGATATTCCAGTATGCTCCACTATATGTGTGTATTGTCAAACATTCATTCATTATATGATTCGCTATTTGGGTATTACTTAATTAATTATTCATGTTCTCGAATATAATAATTACTTTGATAATTCTAAATTTAATCAAACACATATATATCCATGATGTACAATCGAATAAAACACATACGATTGGCATTATTATGGCCAATTCACTTTCTTTTAAAATACACGCTCTGTTTAGCGCGGCACATAATCTTTTAAGTATGGTGGAGGACGTCTGTCACGTGTTGGCCTTGTCCTCGCCAAACCCGATTGCGGACTCGCGTGTGAATTCTGTTCATTTCCTATTATCTCCCCTTCATCGAGGTCGTTTTCAGATGTTTCCGGTTCCTTCCCAACAATTCGAGGATCAACAGTTTTCATAACTGACGAATTTCGAGTCATACAATGACCAGCATCGTTCCTCACACTTATCATTGTCCCTTTTTTGTCAATGTATATTGAATCAGATTTTGTTCTGGCTTCATTTCTTACTAACACCCGATCCCCTACGTTAATTGATCTGTCCCTTGCATGTATCCGTTCGTCTTCATATCGTTTTGCTTTCATTTTCGAAAAATCGTCGTTCTGTTGCGCTATTTCTCTTGTTTGAAGATTTCCACTTTTACCATGACCGATGTTTGGCATTCGAGTCGTCGGATCTCTACCAAACATTAACTTGAATGGCGTATAACCAGTCGATACGTGTGGTGTCGCTCGGTATTGTCTTAAGAAATCATACAGTCCTTGTTTGTAGTTTCGCGCCTCAATAAATGAAGATTTTACACTCTTCATCAGTGGTTTATTGAAGGATTCTGCTTGGGCATTTGCTCTTGGCCATCTCGGTGTGATTTTCCGATGAATTATGCCGTAAAATTTCATGAAGTCAGCAAATGCTTTACTTTGAAATGGAGACCCATTGTCGGTTTTTATCACTTTCGGTATAGCAAACATTGATACAATCTTGTCGAACACCGGTATAACTGTGTTTGCTGAAATATTTTTTATTATTTCAACTATCGGATATCTCGAATACTCGTCTATTACCACAAGTAAATAGTCCCCGTTTTCTAACGGACCACAAAAGTCAGCGCTTATATTGAGCCAAGGTCCCGACGGCAATTCACTCATTCTCAAAGGTTCACGCGGTCTTTGTTCATTTGAATTTGATTGACATGCTAAACACTTTTGAATTGCAGCTTCGATTTCAGAATTCATGTTTGGAAAATATACTTTCGATCTTATGTAACTTTTTGTTTTCACAATTCCTTGGTGACCTTCATGTCCTAGTTTTATTGCTTTTTCACGGAGTGATTTTGGAATCACTAGTTTATCATTTTTCATCAGTAATGATTCATTATACATAGTCAATTCGTCCTTTATACTACGAAAAGATGATAATTCTTCTTTGTTTGTTTCTGGGTCATTCAGTGTTTTCAATTCATACCATTTACCATTCTTTGTAAATTCGACTGCCTTTTGCATTGTCTTATCTTTCAATGATTCCATTTTTATCTCATCTATTGTCATTGCATCTGGTAATGATTGTTCTGCGACAAATGACACGTATTCCTCTGCTAAATTTCGTTCTTCTTTATATTTTAATGGATGACGGGACATAAAGTATGAGGGATTATCTTTCCCTGACCTATACTCTATTTTCATTTTGAACGGTTGAAGTCACAAGCCCCAACGTTCGATTCTTAGTGGTGGTTGTTTCTTTTCCCAAATTTTAGTTAACGGCATGCAATCTGTAATGCATGTGAATGTTGTTGCTCCCTTTAGATACATCGCAAAATGTTCGCATGACCATACCAAAGCCAGTGCTTCCCGTTCTGTCTGACTGTACCTCGTTTCCACTTGTGTTAAAGATCGAGATGCATAAGCCACAACCTTGCCTTCTTGTGGGAGTATTCCCGAGACTCCCACAGGTGATCCATCTGTTATTACTTCAATGTCTTTGCTCGGATTGAAGTATGCCATGACAGTTTCACTGCTCAGATCACTTTTTAATTTCTCGAATGCTGCTTGCTGCTCACTGTCCCATTCCCATTGAGTGTCATTTCTTGTAAGACGTCGTAACGGTTCAGAGATTGTCGCGTAGTTTCGTATAAACCGTGACGAAAATGACGTCATTCCCAGAAAACTTCTCATTTCCGTCACATGTGTAGGCTCCAGCATTTGTTTGACTGCCTCTACCTTCTGAGGTGAAGGTGACATTCCATTTTGCCCGAATACTACTCCAAAAAAGTGATTTCTTTTTTATTGAACTCACATTTAGATCTGTTTAATGTCATGCCACTTTCGTGTATAGCCCGGAAAACTTTATCTAATGCTTTATCGTGATCACTTTGATTTTTCGCGTATACAATAATATCATCCGAAATGTTTTTAGATCCCTCTATACCCTGTATTACTTCACTTATGGTCTTTTGAAAAACCTCACTAGCAGAATTTGTCCCAAAATTCAAACGTTTATACCGATAAAGCCCCATGTGTGTAGCAAATGTTGTGATATACCGTGATTCTTCTTGTAAGACAAGCTGATTGTACCCGGCTTTGAGGTCAAGCTTACTGAATATTTTTGCTCCATTCATATCATGAATTAGTTCATCTATCGTCGGCATTTCATGTCTTTCCCTTTCTATGGCTTTATTGGCCTCTCTCATATCAACACAGAGTCTAACATCGCCATTTTGTTTTGGAGGTGTGACTATTGGTGAAACCCAAGGTGTAGGTTCATTTATAACTTCTTCAATAATATCATTTTCTAAAAATGTAGTAATTTCTTTTTCTACTCTATCTCTCAAATGAAATGGTGTTCTTCTATTTCTTTGTGCTACAGGTTTCACATTTGGATTGATGTGCAATTTCACTGTTTTGTTTTTTAGTTTTCCAATACCTTTATAAATTCCTGGGTATTTATCCTCAATCTTTGTTTTCAAGGAGATGTTCTGTGTTATCTTGACTAATTCCATTTCACATGATGTATCATAGCCGATCAAAACTCCATAGTTTCCTTTCACCAGATAAAATTTTGCTACGGTTATTTTCTCATTCTTTTCAACAGATAAATGCATGTACCCTTTTACTGGAAGCGGATTGCCTCCTCCGTAAGGCAAAAGTTTTGGTAAATATTTTCGTTGAATTTTAGGTTTTCCAATGTAATTATAAGTCCTTTCATCTATAATGTTAACACTCGAACCTGTGTCAATCGTTGCTGTTATTTTCTTTTCATTCACTGTTACTTTTGTTTGAGGCGTTTTCCTTTTGTTTTCCTTTGCGACACTTTTAACTGTTATGTTATAGAGGAATTCTTCCTCTGAATTGGACTGTAAATCCTCTTCACGGCTTACTTCGTTTACTTTGCCTCGTTTTGATTTCTGACAACACCGCGCAAAATGGCCAACTGATGAGCACATGTTGCAGGTTTTCCCTTTCGCTGGACAAGGGGTACCTCTGTGGGGACATTCATATCCACAATTCCTGTATTTATTGGTTGGCAACGCGCGACGATAATTCCCGCGCTGATACGATTGGCCAGTCTCCCGAAAATTCCCACGGTTCTGCGAGTTAAATCCACGTCGTGCAGCCGTTCTCCCACGTGTTGTTCCACCTCGCCCTCTTCGTGCGTAATTTGATACTTTCCTTACTAAGTTTTGGTCATTTTTCTCCATTACTTTGGCGTGTTGGTCACTTTGTTCAAGCATCCTACCCATAGTTAAAATAGCATCCAGTTTTTTGTCAGGTTCACGTAAAGCCCTACGACGTAACTGGTTAGATTTCCCGTGTTGTATAACTTGCTGCAATATTTCGCCATCAATATCTGTAAACCCACAGGTTTTAGCTAGTGTCCGTAATTCCGTCACATATTCGTCAAGGGATTGTTCTTCTGACTGTTTATATGTTCGAAAATTGTATATCTCTATTTGGATGTTCTTCTGTGGCGAAAAATAGTCCCCAAGCACTTTCTTTGTTGCGTCATATGTTTCTTCCGTCTCTTTCTTCTCAACGTCATAAATATCATAAACCTTTTCACCGGCGTAGTGTAATAATAAAGCTCTTTTTTGGTCATCATCGCCCACTAACATTCCCTTGAATAAATTCTCTAAACGACCAATCCATTTTTCCCACCGTGCTCCTGAATTTGTTTTGTCCGTCTCAAGATCGAAACTTGGAAAATGTGGCAAGTTGTTCATTATTTTACTTAGTTTACTTCGTTATCAATCCATAAACTAGTAAAATTTTTAAATCTAGATAATTCCTAAACAATTAAGCACATATTTTGATATCCTCGTCGCCAGATGTTATGTCCAGGGTATAGATATTATACGAAACACATTTGATTGTAACTACGTTTATTTAGAAAGCCATGTTATATCTTGACCGGAAGTTCAGTACTGTTTTTACCCATCATGCAATATAGTTATAAATAGCAGACTACAGTAATGAAGGATATTACACTTCCTTTCTAAAGTAATGTCTTCATGCATAATAAGGGGTCGAAATGTCTGGCCAGTAAAAGGGGTCTAAGTGTCTTAATTTGGCGAGGTACCAAGGGTTGAGATTTCAAAGAGTCGTTTGTATAATAATTAAAAATCTTACTGAAATCACACACAAGAGCGTATTTAATTTCATATTCATCTATGATGCCCTTTACCATCCCTCTTAAAAAATCTGGTCGGATGACATTAATTGACATAATAGGATGCGAGTTCTATCTGTGGCTCGTTTGTTTACAGGGATAAGATGTAATGTGTAAATGAAGCTTATGGTAATTAATTAATATACACTCGGATATTTATGGAATTCGGATCAAAAAGATCTGATGGCACACTATGTAGACACGTAACTGAAATGAATAGACAGTATCCTTCATTTTCAAGTTCAAAACATGGGACTTAACTAAAATATTTGAGTTATTTCTTTAATACAAAGAATTTCTATTTTGTGTTTATTAACATGCAAAATAGTATTTTTTTTTAATTACGATAGTATGAAATACGACGAAAAAGGCATCATTTAAGATATAAGTCACAATAACGATGCACAAAACAATGCAAATGTGTAACATTTTATAGATTAGTCACAAAGTAGGCAAAACTTACCGTCTGTCTGTAGGCAGCGCCTACCAAATGCAGGTATTGCTTGTCGTCTTGAAGCCTGCCTGCCTGTCTGTCTGTCTGGTTATGGGGTTCATATGAATTTTGTGGAAGACGAACAAAACCCCACACGTCAAAACCCCACACCTCAAAATTTTATAGAGTGGACAAAACCCAACACCTAACTTTTATAGAGTGGACAAAACCCCATAACTTTGATTTTTTAGAGTGGACATATGCCCACACCCTTTCTTTACTTATAGACCTTTACTGGCAATAAAATAAGTGACATTGTTGACAATTCAAATAATTAATGTTAATTAAGATTTATGAATGTTTACCCTTTGATTTTCATATAGCAGTTTGTAATATTTGAATGCTTACCCTTTGATTTTTATTTAACAGTTTGTAATATTTGTATAGTCTATTATCATTTAATCATATTGTATTGTATATTGAAATAAAATATGACATACCATTAATTATCATGATCAAAGGAACTATGTAAAATAATTAAACTAACTATATCAAACTTTAGTAAATATTCTGTTTTGTTCTTTTCTAACAAGATCAAAATTATATGACTTGTATGGTTTTATAACAAATAATTAGAAGGTGTGGGGTTATGTCCACTCTATCAAATTGAAGGTGTGGGGTTTTGTCCACATTATCAAATTCATGTGTGGGGTTTTGTCTACTCTATAAAATTATGAGTTGTGGGGTTTTGACGTGTGGGTTTTTGTCCTACACACGATGTCTTTGTGGTTTCCATCATGCCCCACCTATGACAATACTCAACCAAATGTGTTTGATCTTATGAATGAGATGAACAACCGCCTTAGAGCTATTGAGCAAAATGTTTCTACAATTGAACCCATCGAAAAAAGTATTACTAAACTTACAGCAGAAGTGTACCAAATCCGTCAGGACAATAAATCCATTGAATCACGAATGGATGATGTTGAACTTTATTGTCAAACAAATAGTTCTATCACGGAACAAGCCATAAATGACACGTTAAAAAACAATAAAACATATCGACATGCGAACTACACATCATGAAAAACAGATTGAAACATTACTCAAACAAAAGGAAAACCTTAATATTCGTACAGTTGACCTACACGCAAAAGTCATGAAAAACAATCTCACCTTTTTGGAGTTGATGAGGCCCGTCCCTTGAAAAATGATGAGCAACATGTTAATAGCAATAGTGCAGAAAATCCAATTGTTCGAGAAAATGTTGAAGAAACTGTACGTAAACTCTTGTTTGATAAAACTCAAAATAACTCTACAATTCAAACATAAGCAACAATTTATGTCCCTGACATCAAATTCAAACGCGTTCATAGAGTAGGAGACACAAAAAAGGCCGCGGAGAACAACCGACCTAGACCAATCGTTGCTCAGTTCGATAGTTTTTATGAACGGGAACAACTACGAAAAGCTGGAGCACTGTACAATAAGTCACAAACTAAAATAAGAATTCACGAACATTTCCCGAAGCAAAAAGGAGATAAACGGAAGAGGCTATACCCGGCGTTACGCAAATTATCGGAACTTAAAGAGAAGGTAGTTCTAGTGAAGGACAGAATGTTCGTTAACAACAAACCATTTGATCCGGACCGAGATAGTACTTTGATAAACACGGCACACAGAGAACACTTTCAGGTCCCATTTACCCACAAAGATATAGCGAACAGCAAGGATCTTACACGCCCCGCCCTCTTACGAAACATAACAACCACTTACACTCCAACCAGCAAATTTGTACAGCAGGAAATATCCCTTATACAAAGCATGTAATCGATTTCACAACGCCCAATCCTTACGATGTTATTAGTGATAGACGCGAACAAACCAAGAGAAAGGAGCGTTCGCCATTAGATAGTGAAATCGCTTCAAAACGTTTCACCAACGAGAATAGTGATCTTCAAAGTAATGCACAAATTGTTTCTGATAAACGTGTCTTGAATTTGGATGCGTGCTCAAATGACAGTATCGCCGATGACCAGTGCAAATACACGGAATCACTAAACGAACCTCAACCTCAAAACCCATGGGAAAGTGTAACAGTCAATTATTAGGACAGGCGTGGAGAGTCATCTTTCTCCAATCGTAACATTACTTTTACACGGTCTTCTTTCAATGATAATTGTCACACGGGCTATTTATTCAAAACCGTTATAATGAGTGTTTTTGTACATGTACTCGATGTGACGCATGTCAATCGATCAACAAATATAGTAAATTCCGCAATTTTTGTAAACTAAGCTATTCATCGCTGCCTAGATGCTATATGTTTGAAAACAAATTATGTTTTTGTGAAAACAAAATGCGTACAATTACCCTTACTATAAAAATATTGAAATTGAACATAATTCATTAAATCAAAATCTGACACAACTGTGTCACAAACAAAATGGTACTGATGTTTTATGTCACTTTTTTCATAATGACAATTTGATAAATAGATTTTCCATTGACTTTTTGCTCGCTATCATTATATAAATCAATATAATGGCGAAGATGACTATTTTCAAAACATATGCCCGTCTGTATACTTTCGCTGTAAATGCATTGATTATTTTTGTCATGTGGTATATCATACATGTTACTGTAAAATGACTATAAGATTAGTAGGTCAGTACTTGTGTATTTATTGTTGCAGTACTTTTGAAGTGTACGAACCAATGCTTAAACCACATGTATATGCAAACCCGTTTACTGTAAATATTGACAGTTGTTTGTTTCAATTGTTTTGTATTTCTATTCCGTTTTTTATAGCTGTTTGTTTTCCACTTTTACAACTTCCCGTAATCCTTGCTTAGTTTTTGAAAATTTTCACAAAGCGGCAATTTTTGTGACAGACCAAACTTATGTTAATGAAAATATTTATCAGAATAATAGAATCTTAGCTCGAATAATAATAATAATAATAATTATAATTATAATAATGATAATAATAATAACATACAAACAAATACGGTACCGTTGGCCTAGTGGTTAAGGCGTCCGCCTTCGGATCGGGAGGTCGAAGGTTCGAGCCCCACGGGGGGAGCGTTAATTGAAGGATGAATGTTTCTCGTGGGACTCGTTCCGAAATGGCCGCTTCGTGAGCCGCGAGGTAGTTAAAATGAATGGTTACCGATTTCTATCCGCCTGGCGCCTCGCATAGCGGTAGGAATCGGGAGGTACATGGTATGCAAGCAAAAGGTGTCTCATAAGTCAAAATGGCTGGCCCTTTCAGTAGGGGTGACACTATAATAAACAAGACCTTTACCTTTACTATGAAAATGTGGACGACTTAAATTCTTCCTTTACCGCGATAGCAAATTTCGACAGTCGTGAAACTGAGACATCATTCTTGGCACTCAACAATATTAAGATTTTATCCTTAAATGTTTACGGACTTAAATCAAAATTGCATCGCCTCGAATTTTACGAACTGGTGAATGATCACAGCATAATTGGTTTTCAGGAAAGTAAAGCTGATAATTTGGATCATATTGAAATACAAAATTATGATGTATACTTCAAATATCGAAAGGGAAATACCAGGAGAAAGTCTGGCGGTCTAGCTCTAGCAGTTAAAAAAATCTATCCAAATTTGTTACAGTCATAGATTCTAATAATGATCTTGTATTATGGTTTAAGATATCTAAGCTTTTATGCAAATCTGAAACATACATTTTCTGTGGTGTTGTGTATATACCACCCGAATACTCGGACTATGCAGTTGACCATCCTTTTTCCGAAATTCAAGACGATTTCAATCGCCTATCGGACAATTACGCATCTTAAAATTAAATCTTGTTTGGAGATTTCAATTCACGTACAAAATCAACTGAAGATTTTATATCAGTCGATAGACGTTTTTGGAAAACCAAAACTTAAACGTTCATTGCGATTTATAGTAAATTTCAAAATGCACAAAATGTTAAGCTATTACGTTATAACACTGATAAACATAGTAACAGTTATGATAATAGATTTTTATTGATTTTTTACAATAAAATAATATGTATATATTAAATGGCCGAACTTCTTGGATAATACCAGAAGTAATACTTGTAAAGGTACCAGTCCTGTCGATT